ATAGATATTATATATAAATATGAAATATTAGTATCTAACTATCCGAGTGTTCACAAAATAAAACAAAAGACACTACTAGTGACAACAATTTTTTTCTAAGTCATTCTTGGGAAAGTTCCGAGGTGATATAACCAAATTTATGACGAAATCATTATCGGAAAAATCGCAAATCCATCAACCATGCACGTTCCGTAATCCACAAAACAGAAAGTCTCTGAATAATAGCTGGGAGTGCTAAAACTTAAGTTCCAGCCTCTGCTTTCATGTTACGGACTTAGAAGACGTGTGGCCGAGTGGTTTTGTCATGGTGGAGCCGTACTTTATCGTCTTGCTGTCCGCGGTATAATAGTGTCAACTCCATAGTATGTAGAGTTTTACCCTTTCATTTTATCGATTCTTCAAATGTTTAACTTACCACTGTTGCTGTGTCTTGGAAACTCCATAATTCTTTTGCAAGGAAATTTTCACGATACCATTTTCTTTTTTTTTTTAATATATCACCGACAGGAAGACAATTGATCGCCCAATGTTTTGCAGACACTTAGTAGACATGTGCTTTATCCAATGTGGCAAAATACATTTATTTGTCAAATGTCCGATGTCACTCCTTACTTTCGTTTGGCTGTGATATTTTGGATAAACTTGTAAACACGGCTCTTGTGTTGCTTTTGTTTACTAAATCCACGTGAATTATCTTGTTTACAATTCCAAGGGAGGTTCTTACATTAACTACGATGGAGGGCTCTATTCTTGGGCTAGTTCCGCTGACAAATTGTTTAACTTTCTTCGTTACCTCCATATTTGACGGGTAATCGATCATGAAGTAGTCTGTTTTTTCTCCTCTAGAATCACGTCTGCCATTACTTTACCGATAACGTTTAGCACTACGGACATCGCTTTCTTTGAAACGCTAAAAAAATGCGTGCCTTGCATGATTTTGTTAATGCAGAATTGAGAAATGTTAAGCGCCATCTACACTAGCAAATCACCTCTTTTCGACTGAATTACAAGAGAGTCAGGGCTTTTAACTTGTGTAATCACAGCCCACAGAGATGACTAATCCCTCTGTAGAACGTACCATCTCGCGCTTAATTCTTTCTACTGTTAGCGAATCAAGATTATTTTTCAAGTTGAGAACATACCAGTGAACAAAATCATAACAAATTTCAACTTTAACTTTCCATATTTTCTCTAAATGAACAAATAGACATTAAGTGTAAAGTAAACGTATTCACTTTGTGCTTTATTGCTTGTGCTTACTGATTTGTTTATAAATATTTTAAAACATTCATAAATTTTAGAAAACAAAAAACAGGTATAAGTAAATTTTGTTCATATATTGTTATTTCCACATTTTATGTTACTCCAATTAGGAAATAAAAATTATATGAATGATATATAACAAATTTAAAATTCAAATGAATTTTCTTTTTATTGGCCTCCTAGTGGCTCAGCGGTAAGTATGAAGGCTTATAACGCTAAAAACCAGCCTTCGACAGCCTATTGTATAGCTTTGTACTTAATAACAAAGAAACAAACAAACATTTTTTTAATCAGATAATATAGTTGTAATGCAAATAATCATATTTATACGTTTAAATGTTCTGTTTGTAACGAATTGTCGGTAAAACAGAAAATATTATATTTAGAAAGAAATAACATAAATCTCATTAAACTTACTAATGATAGTAATAAGAGGAACTATCAGTTCCATTCTTATTTTAAATAATAATGTAACAGTTAGCAATGATCTCTTTGTTACGAGAAATATTTTAGAGATTTGCTTATTTTAAGCTCAAAGGATGCACAATGGGCTATCTACACTATCCACCACAGGGATCGAACACCGATGTTTAGCAACATAAGCCCTCAAGCTTATTGCTGAGCCATCGAGATCATGATCTTAAATTATATTTACATTTGTTGATTTAATTTCTTTGAATTGCATTGACTTCTAATTTATTGATTTTATTTTAATTTTTATGCGTAAGCTGAACAACTATTTTCAAAATAATTTGAGTGCACTATTTATTTGAACTAACTTGTATGAAGAGCAGCTGAAAATACTAAATCGCCACGCAACTTAAAAATAAATAAAAATTTCATTTACATAATATATAACATTTGGATTTATCGGTAACCGTAAAGATATGTTTTTGACTACATTCAAATTGAGCATAAAGACCAATCAGACACTGACTAAAATTATCAATCTACAAATTTGTAAAACACTAACAAATATACTTATCATATGATACTTCAGGTGACTGCTTGTATTTTATGGACGCGGAGATGTACAGATCATGAGTACCGTAGGAAAATTGGTAAGAACAAGGACCTCTCTGCCTGTCAGAGGGAAATGTTAGTGGGTAACCCGTCTAGCATGAACGTCTTTATCAAAGAGCTCTTCATTGAAAGACTATTCGCGAAATTTGCAGCTGAAAGGAAATACGTCTAACAGTAGAAAAGCGTTGGTCTTCTAATACAAAGGGTTGATTATTTATAGAAAGGACAATTAGACAGGCTTGTAAATGGGGAAAAATATCAGACTGTGTCCCAATCAGAAAATGGCTTATCTATGATGGAAACAGTAACACACGACTTCAGTTGTGTTAATATTGCAAAATGGAGACAATTACTGGAATCGTAGAGTGTAGTTGGATGAATTGCTTTTCCCTTTTTCTATACTGAAAGTAAAATGAAGAAAATATCAGTAAACCACAAGAGGTACTTGACCAAACTAATGTTGTTCAGATAGTGGAAGTTTCTGAAGGTGGTGTAATGATGTTGGGAACACTCTTCTGGTGGGGGTTATTCATGTGTTTCTTTTTGAAGGGCGAATTAGATCCAGACTGTACCTGAACGTTTTTGCCAATCATGACCGTCCCACAATGTTACATTCCCATTTTGACGTTGAAAGTCTCTTCTAAAATGATAATATAACAACTTACCAACTGGCCAGTGAATTAATTGATTTTCCTTGACTAACACAGTTTCTGGATCTCAATTCACTTGAAAATTCATAGAAAGAACTTGAATGTTTCATCGCCACCACAATCCTCTGTTGACACCTCTGAATCAGTTACAAGTCATACTTCAATAAGAGAGATCTACAGTTAAAAAAAGAAACCTTCCTATGAGTTGTTGGGTTACTGCTAGGTTCAATTCAGGCTAATATCAGAGCATTAAGGTGATCCAACCCGATATTACTTGGGGTTTAAATAAAATGACCAGTCAAGATATATGTATACGTTTGTGTGTGTACATGAAATGTAAATTATCCCATTTTTTTACGCATCTGGTTATACTGAAACAAATCGCATAATTTTTTCTTAACATTCAGCCCTTTTATAGCTCTTTATAAATTTCAATAATACATCCTGCACCCAAATGATTGTTTAAAACTTCGAATCATCATTAAATAATTTTCTTTCTTGCAGCTGCACAAAGTTCCAAAAAGAATACGATTTGCTGATGGACAGTGGCATAGACTCAGAATATCGCTGTCCTTTGATTCCTGTCACAGACAATAAAACTGACCACAGTTGTCTGAAAGAAGTAAGTAACTGCAATTATTTCAACATTAACAAGCGAACTAAGCACAACAAAGTCAAAAGATCATTCTGGTTAATATGGAAAGAAATTTCTAATATAATACCTCTTACACTTTGAAACATTGTTGACTCCTCTAAATGAAGAGTATAATTCTCTATCACCTTTGTTACAAAAACAATAGAGCAAACCATTTTGCCTCAACTGACTTATATCAGTATCTTTTAAATTAATTAAATATGACGAAAATGACTTAAGTCAGTTAGTTTCATTTTTTCTGTCTGTCTACTTTTTAACACATTTCTTAACTACGCTCTTATTTTTACAATTATTTAATTATATACTTTTGCGTTTTCTATACTAGTAATAGGAGGGATAATCACATAGCTCCAAGAAATATGTTTTATCATTTGAGTTAATGGAGTATAATATGGCGGTAACATCAAAATGTTTTATAATCAAGCAGCATATGAAAACCAGTTAATTGTGGCATTTTAAACGCTCTTTGTGAGTATTAAGAACAAGCCGATTTTCATTCCTGTTAATCTCGAGGCTGAGAAATTTGTTACGTATGTGCTATAGTAAAAACTAGTTATTATAGCTATATTCAATTTTTACACTAGGTAGCGCTGAACTTCTACCTGGAAGATGGCAGACACCACCATATGGTAGTGGAGGAGGGCTTGCGGGCCAGTGATCTTTGCAGCTTACTAACTTTGAAATTTAATCTTGTTCGTTCCAATACGTGGACAATTGTGGAACAGTTCCGGGATCTCGAAATTGGTAAAGAACAAAGACTATTTTGTGCAATATCCAAATATGATGTATAAGTTTAAAATGCCTTGACCATTATTACATTAATATGAAATTCAATGCTCAGTTCTTCTTATATTTTATATCAATCATTTACTTTGTTTTGATACAGGTCGTGAAGTCTGAAGTACGAAAACCTTGAGATTATAAATGAGCAATTCGGAATTTTGTTCCCTATCTCTCTAAAGTAACATCATGCAAACTTACTTGTTAACTTTTTTAACTGTGTACTTCATAGCATGAACCCAGTTTATACGAGTTGCAGTTTAACATATATATATATATACACAAAGGGTTTTTCCTATTGAAATAATGGTGCTTTTTAGAATAAAGATATCCAAACGGTGCGAAAGTTCCTCAAAATTCGGTAAAAAATTACAACCGCTGATGTGCAACTAAATCAAAGTTCAAGAATTGCAAACTAAAATCATAAATAACCTTTAATTAAAAACACATACAGTTTATTTTAAATGATATTTCAAACAGTGTCACCATTCTTCAGGTGAGCGTAGACAAAAATAAAGCTATCTAAGCATACAGTGTACAGAAATGTGCAACAATTCTAACAAAATATGTATGTTTTGGTAAGCAATTAAAATTATACATTTTGTTGACAGAATTTAGAATCTACGAACTTAGTTTAAACACATACATGTATCCAATTCATATGGCCCGGCATGGCCAGGTGGATAAGTCGCTTGACTCGCAATCTGAGGGTCGTGTGTTCGAACCCCCGTCCCACCAAACATGCTCGCCCTTTCAGCCGTGGGGGCGTTATAATGTGACGGTCAGTCCCACTATTCGTTGGTAAAAGAGTAGCCCAAGAGTTGGCGGTTGGTGGTGATGACTAGCTGCCTTCCCTCTAGTCTTACACTGCTAAATTAGGGACGGCTAGCGCAGATAGCCCTCGTGTAGCTTTGCGCGAAATTAAAAAAAACAATCAATTCTTAGGAAAAATAAATATACGATTATTGATGACAATATAGTTATAAGAAAAACAACATAAAAGTGATATATTGTTAGGTAAAAATGTTAAATTCTGAGCTACATAATACAAAATCAAACACTCTCTGCAGTTGTCCATCCAAGAATTTAACCTACAACAGGGATGGTGAACCTATGGCACGCGAGAAATTTTCTTGGCACGTGGAATTCACTGCTGTCCCAAGTTTGTTTTTACACGACCAATATATATATATCTGAAGGCGTAGAGATTGTATATGTCTATGATTAATTAACTGTATAATATAATAATTATATATAAAATAATTACAATGCATAAAATTAATAATAATAACAGTAATTTTGCTGCTCAAAATGTCCATAGGCACGCGAAAGAATTTTTCTGAAAATTATCGACAATTTGGGCACAAGCTCTCAAAAAGGTTCGCCAGCCCTGACCTTCAGTATTATGTATTTATAATGTGAAGAAACTGGTTGCATGCTAGCTGAACTAGGGCATTAATTAATTCATAGTATTCAAAATTGTGATCCAGATAGACTTGTGCCAAAAGTCATCAACTACTTCATAAAACTAGCCCTCCATTACGCATCACGTAGATGGTAGAGGAGAGTTTGGTTACATGTGTTACTAGTAGTATTATGACCGTATACAGTCGTAGTGATTGCCCTTCTTTTGCGTTTCCTAATTATGCTAAATGGTACTTTGTTTTCCAGCAGTCTTATTCCCTCTGGATGTTGATGAAGACCTTTCAGGATTACAGTTTTTGCATTTATGTACGAGCTTTTCAGCTTCCTCATTTAGCTTTTCTAATGCATAGCCTGTCACATATATCCAGATGATGGTCTTACCATGCAGTTACTTTGCTCTATACCATCCATTTCAGGACCAACCATTCTGAATTTTATACAATACAGACTATGAGTAAATCGCAAATATTATGTTGGTGGCACTGTCTATTTGCGCTTCATTGCTTTAAGCAATCCACAGAAGAGCTTGCATTATGACCTCCAGGTCCATCCTTTTGATGCTTGTGGGAAGCTTAGATGCTCTACCAATCTTATGCAAAATGTTGTTGTTCCGCAAGATGACAAATGCCCAGCCAGATATATTGCTTTGTAGTTACGATGGCAGGTGACTATTTACCATTGTCTTTAAATTGATGCTAACATGCTTTTTTACTTCACCCTCTGTGAAATCTCTATTTTTTTTTGTCTTGGCTTATTTCTATTGTTCCCAATGACACCAGATGTTTATTTCACGCAGAGACACCTGAGATTTAGTGGTAACCATTTATCTCGGTGGTGGCTGTATAGCACTTGCCTACGCATGACTGTTTCCTGAGGTAACCTTTGGGCAAATACCTACTTGGTTAGACTCTGCAGTGTCATTATGGATCGAAAATGTTTTGAATCTCTTCAAACTTATCTAGCCGAGTAGTAATAATTATACTAATCATCAGTTGCACATAATCCAAGATTATATTCCACAGCTTTTATTTTCGGCTGCACCTTTTGATACGTTGATGCTTTTGTAGATCTAATTATCATACTGCGACTGGAGAATTTGAGCAGTGCCTACAAATAATGGTAATAATTTGTTCTCATCAGCATCTCTGTTGTTGAGTGGGCAGAAGATGGCTTGGTATTGTATTGATGATCATTCCTATGCCATTGCATCATCTGCTCACCATGCTAAAGTATGTTAGTATATTGCTTTCAATTTTAGTTTTGCTGGAGCCTCTACTATACACCAGAATATCATCAGAAAAGGTTAGTACATAACATTGATGCTGTCAAATTGGGCTATATTCAGGATGTAGAAGTTGAAGAAGGCTGGAAAAAGTGCTAAGCCTTGATGCAGACCACCTTTGATAGTGATCGAGTTTGATTCCCATCTTCCGTGCTTCATGAATCTTCTGATAGTTAGGGTAACTACAGACCACATTACACATGTTAAACTGAGACATATTCTGAGAATTTTATCAACAAAAATGGACATCTGGACTCTATTGTAGGTATCCTAAGATCTAAAGCTACTTCAATTGTTCTGACCAACTTCAAAACCTACCTAGCTGCAGATTTCTCTTACATAGTGATAACCACCTAATGATGAAGGTAACAGTGGCTCAACCTGGTAGATAAGCCTTCTGATTATGGCCTTCTTTGGGAACTAGCTTATGATGATTTGTAGGATAATGATTTGATGGTGTTTAAGAAGGGAGAGTAATTCTTAAAGGATTTTAGGTAAATATTTGATAAAAGCAATAGACCATACCTCAGGAATACTTCCTGTTGCCCAGCTACATTGATACTCTCACATGAACTTCAACAGGTTAGCTTCTGTAAGCTTAAACATGAAGATTCTCACACCATCTGGACGTGTAGTTCCAATTTTCGATGTACTTATGGCTCTGCATATTTCGTCCACGCTAAAGATGACTTCCATATTTGCATGTAGTTGTAGCACAAATAGGAACTGCTGTAGTTGGAGCCTCTCTTCTATATCACCATGGTCACATTGGTTAATGTATCTACACATGAGAGATATATACCTTGATCTTCAATTCTACATAGTGGGGTGTCCAAAACCATTGTAAATGTCTGACACAGCCATGTGTTTTTATGTGCTGGCTATAAGCTTGTGGAAATGACAGAATGAAGTGTTTGTGAGATTGATTATTTTGCACTGTTCATTCAGTTTCATGCCTTGTGCTTTAGAAGATGGTCACTCTTAGGGAGCACAGGTTCTATTCTATGCAGTCTTTGCCTCTTCTGCCTGTATTAAGTCATGTCTTATCTGCATAAAATCAGCTTGAACTTGACCACTTGGTATCCAGGCTTTATCACCATTAAGGGATTTTCGTTTTGCAGAAGTTATTGTCTTGACTTTGCTCGATGATGGAAAGATGCATGAGGGTACAGACACTTCCAGATAGCTTGACAGCCTTGTATATCGGTTTCTAGATTGTTTGATACTACTATGTCTTTTTAGTCTTTATGTGCATCTAACACATGAGGTGATCACTGTTGACATTATGTCCACTATGCCAGGTAGAAATGGTACTCAAAGTGGGGTTAGAATATGCGAGGTCTATACAGTTGTATCTGTCACCTTGGCACTCAACAGTTCTTGATATTTCACCAAGGTTTAGCAGTATAAGGATAGTAACTATGCTGTGGAAAGAAGAATGCAAACCTTTGTCATTGGTGTTTTCCCTACATCCCATTAAAGGTCCCAACTGCTAGATACATGGGAGTGTTGATAGTCGTGAACCTCCGATCTTCAGCATGATATGCTGTGTTACCTTGCATGTACACATTCGTGATTTGGCTGGGGGGGTAACTTCTGGTAAGCCATCTGAATGGTTCGCAGCAATGGTGATTGTTCCACTGAGAGCTGTCATAATATTCATGGTGGATGTTGCTGTCGTTTAGTCTCTTGAAAAAGTATGACATCGTAAAATTCAGAGAGCTTCTCAAGGCAGTATTTGTTCTCCTCATCCCCCTGACATTGCATTAACTTATCATAATGTGAGACTGTCCGAGTCTGGTGTACTTTTTATGCACGCCTCATTTACCAGCTAAATGTTTAATCCTCATTTTCTTTGTTCTTTTCTTTCTACTGTTGGCCAGTCAAGCCCCTGCTGAATGCACGACCTCTGTTGCTCCTGTATCATTGTTTGTAGGCAGTACATTAACCACTTACTGTCCAGAACTCATGCCCACCCTAACAAGCAGGCGAGTAACAGTGAGTGAACGTTCTATTAGAATGGGGCTGTTATTCTATTGGGCAACAGGGTATAAAGATGGCCTCCCTGACCCTGGTGCAGGACCTTATGCCAATAAGCCATTCTTATAAATGATAATCAGGCATCATTTTGTTGATAACACCCTCTGCTAAAACAGTGTGGCAAAGTATCTTTTCCATAATCCAATTGGGTTTTCTCTGATGTGTTCAACATAAGACATTGTAGTGGTCATAAAGATGAAGTTGGTTTCATCTTTAAAATCTATATTATTTTGGATATTTGACATTTCCTTCTTCATTTGTTTTATGTGTTGATTATTTTTTAACAGTTTCTTCCACATAGATTTTAGAAATTCCATGCATTTCATCGTCTAAATTGTTTGCAGATCAAATATAAAATTATATTTGCATAATACACTTCAAAATTTCTAGTTTCTGTTGAATAAAGTGTGCGAATTTCCAATCAAGGGCCCCTTAGTGGCACAGCTGTATGTCTGCGGATTTACAACGCTAGAATCCGGGTTTCGATACCCGTGGTGGGCAGAGCACAGATAGCCCATTGTGTAGCTTTGTGCTTAATTACAAACAAACAATTCCATTCAAGGTATTATTTTGGGTTTGTTTGCTTTACTATCTACTATAGTTTCAAATCCTAATTGTTTTGTTATGATGTGGGCGTTTAAAAAGTTTATGAAGACTTTATTTTTTCGTTTTAAAAGGTAAAATGAATATCGGGGTGTATGTCATTAATGTGATTTGAGAAACTTAACTTTTCTTCGCCAGAGTTGAAACCTCACAAAACATCGCCGACATATCTCGACAAATATAAAAGTTTGGAGATGGCTGTGTTTAAGGCCTGTTTTTCCAGTTGATTTAAAAACGCATTTATTAATGCACGTAAGAGTGTTCCTCTCATATAGACACTGTCGATTTAACAATAAGTAACGTTGTTGAATTTGAAACATAACTTTGTAGAGAGGATAAACAAAGCTACAAGTTTTGATGAGAATGTGGAAATTTTATATTTGGGGTCTTTGAATTAGTTCAATAACAAGTTTGTAGGCCTCTCTTTGGATATGGGTATATAGATTTTGTACATCAAAACTTGCCATTTTGTGTTTTGGATCCAATTTTCTTAAGGAGTCAGTAAAATGTGTCGTGTTTCTGATGATGTTATCTGAGTGGTTGTATGCTGAAATTTCCATGTTAAATATTTGCCAAGGTTATACTTAAAATGTTAAATGAAGAATAGGTTGGCATAATAAATCGCATTTCCATAAATAATATATGAATTTTCGATGGTCTTTAGAGTACATTGAGTTGAGTTCTACCAATAGTGTATTGTAATAAGTTTTTGAGCTCAGGGAGTTATGCAGCCTTCTTTTCAAGTTCTTTTAGGAATTTGTTCATTTGTTGTTGTTCTTTTTTTGTATAGATTGTTAAGGTATTCATCTAACTTAACGCATCTACAAACTAGGCCTCGCCAGAACGAGTCTGTAACGTTTTCTGGAATTCGACTATCTTTCTGAATGTAACTTTTACATAACGGCGACCTGATACTATTGGTCGAAATATTGTAACCATTAAAATCAGAACTTGCATACTTTGCTCTATTTCAGTTAATTATACTAGACCCTATCGTTGTGTAATAGTTTATACTCATTGATGTTTAGTTTTGATGTACAGTCCTTTACTCACCACTAATAACCTAAAATACTTTAGGTGTTTGAATAACATGTGACTTACCGTATATGATTCAGCTGAGTACAAGCAGAACTGAGGAACTGCGAATGCAACAGAAGTAGCGAATCAAAGAATTGATTAGACTTCTACATCATATTTTCATAAGGATGAAAAATTCATACTCTGTAAAGTTTCATACCATTGTTATGTTTGACAAGGCACATATTGCTGTTATTCTTTAATTCACAACAACATTTTTACGTGTACTCTCTTCTTTTCATAAACGTGTTCCATTATGTTAAAGAATCGTCTGTAAGTTTCGTTAGGTATTCCACCCAACGTGGAGCACTTAAAATTATAGGGTTCAAATATACCTCATTTTATATACATATATTTTTTTCCTTCTTCATTTTTTTCTCCCTTATTACACATACAATTGAAATTACATATACTCAGCACAAGTTTCGACATTTTGTGTTTATGGTGAAAGTCAGATGACTTTGCTGATGGAACATGACATTTAACGTTAGTGAATGTGTATCATATTATAACTGAGGGAAATCATTCGTTATTGGCCCAATAGATGGGGAAATGGTGCATAATAAACATTTTATAAGTACCTTGTCAGTTGTGTGCTACTACCGATGTGGTACGCGTATTATACATGCCTTGTATATGTACATATTCATACACACATTCCACGTGAAATTTCATTTGTGGTTTAGGTATAAAGTTCCAAATACTCAACTCTTTATATATATATATATAAACTCCCTTTGCAAAAACAATGTCCATATTGTTTCTTATGTTGCTGTAAAATTTTGTGATTTTTGAAATGAAATGAAATTATTGGAGTAATGCTAGAAGAAAATATGTTAGTTTCAGTTTTGAGAAATTGACAAGTAATTAACGGTTTTCTTGGTCTGTATTTTTGGTACGTTGTTAATGTTTTGTGAGCTATAGCATTAAGTTGAATTTAAGCTGTCATATACATATACAGTAGGTACTCCTGGATTAAATTTATTGTTTAAATATACTTATATTTGATATCATTATCAGAGAGAGCTTTAGAGGATCATGAAGAAGTCTTTCAGATGTATACGGCATCATGGAATCTTAGTTCCTGTGACAGGAGATTTATTGTAAGGCAGGACTTCCACAAGTATCAGTTCTTCCAGAACCCTGAGGTATTAAATGTTTAAAAAGGAGATAGTAAAAACATTTTTTATTTTACTTCAATAAATATTATCATACATCTGAGATCCATACAGAAATTTGATAATATATGTTCAATAAGAAGTTTAAATTGTATGCTGTGATTGGAGATTTAAGGAATTGTGGAAGCTCAATAAGAGAGTTCATCAAACAGGGAAGTAGGAAATCAAACACTATAGGAAAAAAGGTTGGCTGAAAATGTAAAAATTAATAGTAAGGATTTCTTTAAGCAAAATGTTAGAATGGGAATAGGGCCTTTGAGGGATGGAAAAGGAAAGTTCATATTTGATGATTATGAGATCTCTGTCACACCAAACATGCTCGCCCTTTCAGCCGTGGTGGCATTATAATGTGACGGTCAATCCCACTATTCATTGATAAAAGAGTAGCCCAAGAATTGGCGGTGGGTGGGGATGACTAGCTGCCTTCCCTCTAGTCTTACACTTCTAAATTATGGATGGCTAGTGCAGATAGCCCTTGTGCAGCTTTGTGTGAAATTCAAAAAAAAAACAATGATTATGAGATGGCTGGATTTTTGAATTCTACTTTTTACTTAATTTTTACTAATGAAGTTTTAATTGGGAAGTTTATAGAATGATAAAGCTACTGGGCCAGATAATTCTTCCCTAAAGGTTTTGAAAGAGGTTAAAGATTGGATGTGTGAGTCACTTGCCACTATTTTTTGTAAACCTTTGAATAATGGACAAGTGCCATTATGATTGGCAGTTGGTTGATGTTACTCCTCTTTGCAAGGGGAAGTGATTAAAGATTGTCCCAGTAATTATAGGCCTATTAATCTTACAGGAGTAGTGGGAAAAGTTTTTGAAAGTCTTATAAAAATATTTTGTAAAGTCATTTAACAAAATTTAAAATTTTGTTGGATATTCCACATGATTTTATTCAGGGAAAATTTTGCTTTACTAATCTGTTGACATTCTTTGAAGAGGTTACTGCTTATGTTGATGAGGGTATGGATAGGAATTTAAAATGTGAAGATTTTCAGAGAGCATTTGACAAGGTCCCACATAAAAGGCTTGATAAGGAAACTTTTCTGTAGGTGTGGGGATAAGTTTACACAGTGGACAGAAAACTGGCTCTATGGAAGAAAGCAAAGGTTCTTTTTAAATGCAGTTCAGCCAAACTAGAGTAATGTCACAAGTAGGGTACTTCAAAGCTCATTGTTATGACCTTTTCTCTTTTGATTTACATCAATGGCATAGAAGAAAAATGTCAAATAATTATTCAAATTTTGTTTATGATATTAAAATCTTTGATATTTCTGGCTGTGATGATTCTGCTGCTGCTTTACAAAAGGATTTATTGGTGAGTTTGGCAAATAAATGGCAGATGGGTTTTAATTATAATAAATACACAGTAATCTTGATAGGAACAACATTAACAGTATCATAGAAGAAATGAATCTTGCTGTTCTGATTGATCAGACTCTTAAGCCACCCATGTAGTGTACTGTTGCTAGTGGCAGGGTAAATAGGATTTTACATTGTATCTACAGAAGTATTAAATGCAAGCCTAAAGAGGTTATATTTCATTTTATAGCTCACTGAATTGGCCAAATTTGGAGTTTTGTGTTCAGTCTTGGGATCTTACATTATGAAGGACATTAGATATACAGAAAGGGTTCAGAGGAGGGCTACTAGAACAATGCCTGAGATAGAAAGGTTTTCATATGAGGACAATTTAATATTTCTGAAACTGTTTTCTCTGGAAAAACAAAGAGTTAGAGGGGATCTGATTGAGGTGTTTAAGATTGTTAAGGAAATTGATAGTATTAGTGCATCATCTTTTTTCATACTGAATGGTGTGAATGGTAGGACTAGGGGACACAAATAATAAATAAAGAAATTGTGGCAGGTTATAAATCATCTTCAGGTAAAACAGTTTTATTTTTTTAAAAGGATGGTTGGCCCTTTGAATGCGTTGCCTTCAGATATGGTGGATGCAATTAATTTAAGGGAGTTTAAGAAAAGCCTTCATAAATATATGAATGATAAAAGCTGGATTTTAGTGTTTTCTTTTCATTTTGCTTTAGTTTAGTGGATTGGACCAGCTGAGATGGACTAAGGTGGTCCTTGTTGTGTGAAAATTATATATATATATATATATTAAACAAAATGCAGGTATAAAACTCAAACTGTCTGTAGTACAACAAAAATATTACCTACTCAAACTGTATATATGTACACAATCTGTGAATTTTTTCTTTGTATATGTGTGTGTTAAAGTAAAAGGACATATAAGATATAATGTTCATTATCCAGTATAGATAGTGAAGTACTGTTAATACATTTTCGGAAGTCAATAAACAGTTCTTTATTTTTCAAACAAATATCAAACGTGAAAACTGCCAAATCTAGACTCACTGAAAATGGTATCAGCTTGTGGTAATGATAATATAATTTGAAACACAATATAAGATTAGAGATGTCTCCATGCTGAGGGGGACAAATTGAGCATTATCCATTATTTCAGGTGCAGGCGTCTATTGACAAATAATAATCCATACTTATCACTGTCATATATAAGTCACATAACCACTTACTACTTACTTTATGAGTGATAGTTTCATCAAAATTCCAAAGATGCAAGTCAACAGTACAGGGTAAACTGTGATGTCATAACTCAACAGTCAGTCATATGTGACAATGACTGATGTCATCTTGGACAATGTGTTTATTGTTGATTAATTATTGAGAGATATGTAAAGTATTGTGAACTTTATGTATGCTGAACTGCAATGTATATATACTAAACTGGAGACTGTGAGGAGTAATGGGAGTAGGACAGCTGTCTGCTTAATACTTTACAGTTGCCTGTTATTAGTAGTACTAATAAGTTATGTATAATGTACTATTATAAAATTTTGTTTCTACCACTCAGTACATATGCAGTTTGTCCAGTTTATGTGAATTGCCTTGTGGTATGTGTAATGGTTAAATAAACAGTCAAGGCAAATGCTGACATTCCAGTGTCACATGAACATGGAAATCATCACAGTAACCAAATTACAAAATAAACTTTTATATTTCTGAGAATGTTTTTATGTACAGCACATTTTTTGGATGTAAATTTATTCATGAAAGTCAAATAACTTTGACAGCAGAAAATTTGTAACTAATTGATATATAACAAGAGAAGTAATTTATTCAAAAAGATTATGATGATTAGCTATCCTTCTCTTCACATTTAGTTAATCTCCATTCCAACAAGAATTCAATACCTACCTATATGTCGTGCAGAATAAAATTATGTTGTAGGAGTATTGTTGTTAATTTAGCTAGAACCTTACATAATTATTGTACAAAGTACACTCTGCTGGATAAATAGCAAATTGTATTTTAAGTAACTGTAATGAATTAAAATACTTATAAGTATCAATATGATTAAAGTAAAGCACATTGAGCTAAATTGTTGGCCAGGTTATATTAATAAAAGTGTGTGAATCAAGTCACATGTGACTAAGGACGCTTTCAGGTGTTAAGGTTGGTGAAGTTATGGTGCTAGAAATGTATTGCTTCTGCAATTAGAGACATTGTGTAAAATAGGAAAATTGGTAAAGATTATTATTTTGATGAGGATTAAAATTGTTTCCACTGCCTTTTGAAACATACAGTATTACCTACTGAATGCAAAGATAGTGTAAGGAAACATTTTTAGAATCAACTGATAAAATGACAGTTCTTAAAAGTGAATTTGTTATAATTTTATTTATATACTGCTCTTGTCAGTTTTAATCTTTCTGACTTATTTATTAAAAGTCAGTGAAAACATACTATTCTGAATTTCATTATGACATACTTACCAATACTTCACTCACACAAATGGATATTTTAACATTAATTTTTAAGAACGATGGTGGTTATATTGTGATAATACTATATAATGAACTTATAATATATGATGTAGCCTGGTTGACACAGTCTTCACAAAAAGAAGCAAAAGTCTATGTTGAGTAGTTAAGGAACCAAGTGATTTTTGAAATTATAACCAACTAACAATATGACAATCATATGTTTAAATAGCAATCAAGAAAAAAATGATCCCTATGCTGGAAAAGAAGAAAAATCAGGTTAATTTAACCATAGTAGAGATTATATAAAAATGCAATTTTGTAATTGATAATCGACATTAGTGTGTATAATATATTAGGTGTGTGATAATAAACCAGTTTTGTAACAAGGATATTTTTATTTTATTTTAAAATTTGTTCTTGGTTCAACTGAATACAGGAATGTATATAATATTACTTTAACAATTGTACAGCAAGTAGCCATGTTTACTTGAGATTATTCTTAGCCAACTGGGTAGATAATTTATTCCATTCACTAACTTATGCAATAAGTATTTGTTAACCAAAAATGCCATTTACACTATTTATAGTAGCTGTGAACAGTATCTCGTGTAATTCAATGTTATAAAATTACCCCAAGAATCACCAGGGAAAGATTATTTTCTAAAATATTCTAAACAGATTTTACAGATTTAATTCCATAATAGTATTAATTTCAAATTTCCTACTTCATTTAGAGTTACACTTGAAGATGACCCTTTCCTTTAGTATTTGCAATATTATTAGTTCATAATGCTAATTTGATTAAAGATTCCTCTTTTTAATCTACATAACAGGATGTGATTTCTATGTATTGTTTAGGATCAGGTTGTTTATGTATTTGTAGTATTGTTACTCTATGTACATATCAGATCCATCTGTTCTAAAAGAGAAAAAAAAAGAAGCATATCTTTCTATTCTTATAGCAAATTATTTATAGTGATGACATACTCTGAATATTTAATATTTTTTGCATTATGAATGAAACTTTTTAATACTTAATAATAAGGGTTATACTCATAGGTTTTTTAAGTCATTTACATGTATTTAACACAGACAAATATATATAGATATTTGTTGCTATAGGATCACTTTTACAAGTGTTTTAGATTTATGAATGATGGAGGTAATCATTAACATTGTTCATATTAACACAAAAGCTTTCACCATAAACACATGTTAAACAAAATAATTTCAGAACTATGCATCATCATGACACAATATCATTTCATTTTTTTAAAGAGATATATTGTTTAGAGAATGTACTACAATTAACTCAGCATAATTCAATAAAACTATCACATGAGAAAGCAAAAGGTTTTGTCTGAATTATATTTTACAGCAAATTTTACCAAAATAATAGAGTAATATAATTAGGCAGATCTTTGTGGAGGTATGTACATAACATTTATATCATGATTGCATGAATTGAAAGCTTATTTTCAGACAAAGTAACTTTGTTCACCTAAAACAAGTCTGATATAGCAAAAAATATTTTTATTATAATTGTTTAAGACTAAAGTTATTAAATAAATTATGTGAAACAAATTTTCAAAACTCATTTGGTTTTTTTGGAAGTTTATCGCAACAACATTTGTGTTATGGTCTTGTGCAAATGTTTCATTAAACAACAAGGTGCATATTTTTCTATTGAACTGGTTGTAATTAGATGTAGTTGATTGATTTATACAAATACTTAATAAAGATTCAATATTGTATATTTTTTTTTCTAAAATTTATTAATATTATTAATTGATTTCATTGAATACAAACAAGTTAATTTTTTTATAGTTGTATATAATGCAGTATATTGAATTTGTTGATATGTGATTTTGGTACACTGAAAATGACTTTACGTACATTTTATTGCAGAGCTTCTATCCACTGGAACTAGTAGACCTTGAATCGCAGCTGGACTGCCCAGCAAAGTCTACAGTTGTTACAAAGATAATTGTCATACAGGTAATATTTTTATTGGAAAAAACAGATGTTTGCAGCTTGTTTTAAACCTTTTTATACATTTGTGTGTTTATACATCAAAAATATTAATGCCAACTTGGAAGCCGAAGGATTGTTCAGTCTGAAACTCACCATTCCCAATGATTTTCTTGTGAAATGTGATATGTAATGCTGAGTTCATGGAAATCCTTAGAGAAAAGTACATAATATGTAGGCGTAATAAACTTTTAACATGTCAATTGTCTTGCTTCCCCCCCCCCCCAAGAAAAAGAAATAATATGTATGGTAACATTAAAAATATGTTTACTTCATTAACATGTAATATCTTTTTAATAAAATAAATATTTTTTTCATATTTGAAACTTAAAATCTACAATTTATTTATCCTGTGATTGTACAAGTATACTGTGAGGGTAAATAATTTATTAGCATCAGTGTATTTCATTATAGAAAACAAACAACCAAATCAATTATGTAAAAAAAATATTTCCACAGAATATGCTTCACTTAGGAAACAGCATGCCAGTTGTGCAGAGTTTTCTATGGTTCAAAGATTCCACTCTAAACTCTTGGAGAAAGTATTTTTTTAGAATTGAAGATAATATTTTGAGTTTTTCCCTCATCCCTGGGAGAAAGGTTAGTATGAGTAATTCAAAGTTAACTTAAGACCTTTTAATGATACATGATAAAAATAGCATAATATATTTTTTTCTCATTTCATTATAATTTATTGTATTAGTAATATATTTAATTAACTCTCTCACTACCACATTTATTGAAAAACAATTTAAGTTCCAGGTTTGTAGTTAGATACTCAACAAAAAGCAAAAAAAACAACATTTTTAAGTATTTTATTGCTTTGTCTAAAACTTGAGGTAAACTAGGAAATTTGAAGAGGAATACCCTTTTTTCATGGCAGTATAAAATTCCAATTTGGCATGGCAGTGATTTACAGGGAAGGACATGTTAGTGCTTATAGCATCAGAATAATTAACAGTTTAATATTGTTTCTAACCATTATAGGTGAAGGTGATAGATGATTTTGCCTCAATACTGTTTACTGACTCAATCAATTTAGCAAATGAGGACATAGCACCTTAAGCACATAGTAATGGCTAACTTTTAGCTATTACTGTAAAATACTATAAAATAATAATATATAATAATATAGTATAATTATAGTGATGGACTGCTCTAATAAATTTGCTCTTTATAGTATGTGTACACCTGAAACTTTCTGGTGCTTCCTTCATTTGCATGATCATTTTTCTTTTATCCCTAGTGTTTGGCCTTTACCAAATTAGCAGATAATAAGAAATATTCTTAATTTGAAAATTTACAGTTACATGGCAAAAGATATTTTCTCATTTACTGTCAAATGGTTTTAAATATTCTAAAACCCATAGATGTGTAAAGAAAGTTGTCAGTCTTTTACATTAAAGATAATAAAAACACTTTCTACAGTACATGAAAATTAAGATGTTCTCTCTAATATTTAAGTACTTTGTTCTTCTTTAGTGAAATGTATTTAAGATGCTAATCTTTCTTGTAATAATGTGCATTTGAATTATTTTCTTACTGAAAATGTTGTTAACAAACTTCCAATGAAAGTAAAGGAAATTTGATGTTACAAAATTACATACTGTTTATTGTAACATGTATTAGCTGTTTGTCTACCAACAAATACATCTCTTTTACAAATTCAAACACAATACCTTTCATCAAGTAATCTTTGTAAGAATTACTTTTTTATAAAGCTATAATTTGAAATTTTTTACCTTTAAAAATCAATTTATTGAAAATATTAAGCCAACAAACAATTTAAAGAATAAATTATTAAGCTTTTACTTTGCTAAGGTAAAACTTATCACAAAGAACAATGTTTTTTATGTTAATCCATCTAATTGTTCTATTGTAGGATCCCAAGCAGATGCGTTCACTTTTAGACCTAAGAAACTGTGATATTTTTATGCCAATTGAAGGGAAATCTAATGGATCTACAACTAATTTTTCTTTCTGTCTCAAGGTTTGTTTTCCCTAAAATCAGTCTTCCTATTTAAAGATACACATTTGCTATTCTTGTGGTCTTATATGAGAGAATGAATGATATACAGATTAGAAAAAATATTGCTTCTATTTTGAATGGCAAAAATATTTGGGAAAAAGTAAAATGTCCTCTTTCTAATCTTTAATTTTGGTAAATGAATCTTTTCATGGCATGTAAACAATGAAGGACCTAGTAGGTGTTTATATCTATGTTTCAAACCAACAGTTTTTCACTACTCTGTATATCTTTAAGTCATGACTAGGCTTAATTGATTTTAACACTTATGTCTAATGTAGTTAATTTTGCACATCTTCAGTTTAAAAACATATACTCTTGATGTTTGAGTTTCTTTAGCTGTAATGCCCTCCATGAACATTGTAACTCATACCAAATGTGACAGTAATGTGATCATCTGACATTGTAATTCCAGTAGAACTATACAAACTTTGCTTCATTTTTAATTTATTGTGTATTATAAAATATTTTACGTTATTTGCTAATAATATTAAACATTTATTAATATTTGGTTAAATCTTGACTATTAGATTCAAAAACAGTAGGATTATTTTATGTGATATTATTTCAGCCAAGAAGTCTGGAAAGATCAATCACTGATCTAAAATGGTTTTGTTGTGGAACTGAAAAGGGTCGAAAGTGCTGGATTGTGGCCTTAAGATTAGCAAAGGTAAATGGCATAAAAACATTCACTAACATATCTTATCCAATGTCCATTATCGTGTTGTTTGTATATATACTTTTAATAATTTTTGTTTACATATATATGTATCTCTTTCTTCCTAGCTAGTTATCAGAGTTACAAGATATGAGAGTCAGATGAAGGTATAGACGAGATCCATTATTGGCCATGTCATAGTACCTGTCTACCTAGAATATAACAGTACCTCATGATGTCATTAAAAGAGAAGTTTATCAAAAAATAGTATTTAACTATGGGAATTTTGTTTGACACAAAAACCAGTCTTAAAAAACTAAAATATTTCAGGGAACAAGCATGTAGACAGTATAATCTCCAATCAAAGTCTTGTAAAAACAAACATGTCCAAGAGGTCTACCACATAAACAGGCTACTCTCCACCCTAAGTCTTGAAGAAGTATAAATATTAAAAAGATCAAACACATAAGTTAACTTCTACTTTCAGTATTCAAAAAGTAACTATAGGATGACAGGAGAAGTTCTATCTTCACCTCTTGGTTCAATAATTCTAAGAAACATCTGTTGAGAATTAGTTTTAAAATAAACAACTTGCCAGCCTGTCTGTTGATTAGAAAGTATTTTGATCCACCTCTATATATCTTCAATGAGAAATGTGCAAAAATGGATCACAATGTTGTCGAAATCACCTGTTTTCTAGGAAGGTTATCCGTTTCAACAATAACTTTTTACTGTAAGCCACCTCCTGAGTATGTCTTTCAAATAATGAATATCTGTATGAAAAATTTAATACCTAGGTATGTAATTGCTGATATGTTTAATACAAGTAGTAGTATTTTTGATATTGTTTAGTTTATCATCTGACTGCATCTCTTCTTCCTATTATTGGTGTATCTTTAATTTAACCTATTTGAACATTATTCATTCTTTTCCTTTTATATCTATAATTAATGTTCAAATTTAGACAAAATTTCTTAATATACTTCCATTAGTTTGGGAAGAGGTTACGAGAAAACTACAGTGAAACCAAGTCAAGGAGGTACAGTGTTGACAATTCACCGTTGTACTTAAACATAGGAGAACATCATGGTATCACATTTGTAAGCATGCTACAGTTTCTTTTTTAATTTTTGCAGTTTTCTACTTGTCTATTTGTTCTCAACGATAAACTCAAAGTAATACTGCATGAGTATGGACAAAACTCTTGAATAAAAACATTACTCTTTAATTGTGTGCATAAGCTGTATGTTTCTAGATCTCTTATTTTCTTAAAATAATAATTTGAATGATAAATAAATTTAACCGTAAAACAATTAGATAAAAATGTGAAATGCATTACTTTTTGTGCTCTTACGTATCTGACATACATGACGATACATGTATTTAGCTTTTCATTCATTGTTGTAATTGTGTTTTATTATATATATATGTTTGTTGTTAGAACTTCTTACTTTCAAAATGTGACAGTTATGTTTAAATTACTGTATTTCCTGACCAGGTGTTAAATGTGTTAATTAAAATATTATTTTCAAAGATAAAGAATTGAGTGGAAAAGGTTGACAAATAATGCCTGTGATAATAATATCTTTTACTAAATTTGTTTCTAAGATTCAGTTACAAATAATATTTACGAGAGAGACAAATATCAGCTCAACTTCTAATATTTTTCTTGATATGAAACATTTGTTAATATGAAAACAGAATTTAATAATTAAAATAAAAATTTTCTACTGATGTCCTAATGACAATTTGGTGAATGTTTAGATCTAATGATAATACATGAAAGTGACTAAAAGTTGCTGTAAAACATTAAATAGAAATCTTCGTAGTAGATATCCGCTGATAAACCATTTCTGATAATTTATTGCTAAAATCTTGTAAGCTGCTAGTTTCTTATTAGTTTTGAAACAAACATTTTGTTTCATAGGATTCTCTCTCCTGTAAACAAATTCAAGTAGCAATGGACTTCAGAAGAAAGTCTGGTCATGTAGTCCAAAACTCAGTAGAACTCAAAGCAGTAGCTGCTGTAGAAACAAAAAACAGGAAGGTGAGAAACATGTGACATTATAGTTACATACTCATACAATAATTATTATAACAATATTATATTAATGTTTAAATCTGTTTGTTCACTTTATTTAGGTATAATTTTTTTTCAATTGCTACATATAATTGTTACATTATTGGAAACATTAAAGTATAACTATAAAAAACAAAGAGCAATCAGCACTTCTCTAGTTGTTGGTGATAACAAATGTTAAGTTGTTTATGAGCTATACAAAGGGTAAGTCAAAATGTTTTGAAGCACTGCCATTGTGCATTTGGTATTAATGTTTAAAAAAGTTTAAGTAATATGAACAGTATCTATTATTTATATAATAGTATCTTTGCAGCAAGAAGCCTCAATTGTTCAAGCTGTACAGCCTCCAATTCAACCAACTTTGGAGTTTGGTGTCCCCAACCTACAACCATGGTTTTATAGTGGTATGACAAGAGAAGTAGCAACTCAATTGTTAACAAAATATAGAACAGTGGATGGGTGAGTTTAGCAAGTGAAATATTCATTTTGTATTTACAGTTGAAAGGTTTGTTTGTTTATTTTAATTTCGCGCAAAGCTACACGAGGGCTATCTGCACTAGCTGTCCCTAATTTAGCAGTGTAAGACTAGAGGGAAGGCAGCTAGTCATCACCACCCACCGCCAACTGTTGGGCTACTCTTTTACCAACAAATAATGGCTGAAAGGGTGAGCATGTTTGGTGGGATGGAGATTCGAACCCACGACCCTCAGATTGTGAATTGAGTGCCCTAACCACCTGGCCATGCCGGGCCCAGTTGAAAGGATTATTACATACACTACTTCAGAATATGAACACTATGTTCCCACCTCTCAATAGTGATACACATATTAATGGGTTAGAAAATAGATAAATATATGTTTTATTTTGTAAGTAATTACACATTACTTTTAATGATAAATGAATTTTTAGCTGTTTCATTTTATTTTATTTTTTATTTTTCCCTCTGTCAGACCAAAAGTTAAAATAATGAAAACAGTGAGGAAAATGCCGAAAAGAACTTCATCAAAACATAAATACTTGTTTTCATATTATATTTTAGTAAAGCTTGGAGTTACTTATAGAAAATGCTAGGCAAGAACTTTTTACTTACTTTTTGTGGATTCCACTCATTTGCCAACTTTGTTAGAATAATATTTTTAGATTTATTAACTATAATTAATATTTAATTCCAACCAGCAAGGCCAACAAGGGCCATTGGAATGGTGCTGTGCACACGCATAAGTGAATATAGACCCGATTAATGTTTGCTTAAATGTTCCGTACTAATTTGATACATTCTATACACATTTTTTTGCCACTCTCATGGGCCCCCTTGTAGCCAGTGGGCCCTGCATGGGTAAATATGGCCAGCTTCCCTGCTTTCTCTATAGATCTGCAGTTCAGAGTAAATTACCTACTTAGAATAAAACTAAAAATACACCTGTTGATAAATATAGCTAATTAGATATACTTTTCTTACTTGTAGAGATAAAAATGCATTGTTTCATTAGTTGAGTACCTGCACTGTTAATATGTAAAATGGAAAGAAAGTCAGGAAAAGCATGCCAAAATATTTCAGTAATTGAGAAACTATAACAAATTACCTTCCATATGGGATCTTCACATGAGATATTCAATGAAGGATCAGTGTCATGTAGAATACATATAATTTCATATGGGAAATATCCAACACTTATTGAAAACAACTATGTGTAATAAAACAAATAATTCATAAAGTTAATTAAAATAGTTCACTGTTGTAAGGTATACAGATACTATACAAATTTAATGCATATTTTCTAGTGAAAGCAAAATTCCAGATGTTTGAAAAGTATCAACTTGCTTTTAGGATTTTTTTTGTGCTAATTATTTTTGTAAGTTTTTCAATGATTTATGCAGATGTTATTCAGAAACTAGAGTTCATGTTTGTTTGTTTTAGCCTCCCAGTGCTCAGCAGTATGTCTGCAGATTTATAATGCTACAAACTGGGTTTCGATACCCATTATGGCCAATGTACAGATAGCCCATTGTGTAGTGTTGTGCTTAAGTATAAACAAACAAACAAAATTTGTTTTTTGTTTTATTTTCAAATAATTGTTAATTATTCTTTTTAATTGTGATTCATAAGTTCAACTGATAGCCACTATTGTTGAAATGTTTTAATATATATATATATATATACAAGGTCTTGAATGCTCATCTTTTTTGACAATGTTATGGAAATTCCCTAACATTTCAAATAGAGATTAAGCATACAAATTAGTCATTGTCTGCAGAAAATATAGCATCATAATTTGAGAGAGTCAATTTTAGTGAACCATATATTGATAGTAATTAAAAAAAAAAGAAAGTGAATTTGATTACTTTTTAGTATTCAGATATTTTAAGTGTAGGCTTACTGTTCAAGTCATAGAATTCAGTAGTAGAAGATAGTTTTATTTGTTGTAAGCATAGCTAGGTAGCTGAGTTAGATTGAAAATTCAATTTATTTTGAGACATCTTGTAGTTCCTAGAAGCCCAGTTTTAACAGCAAGCTTGAAACATAGTAAATTCACTCTAGCTCTCACTCACTCATTTACTGGCTAGTACTTTGTAAGACTTAGTTACATATTTTTGCTAAAATCAAGATTTTTATTGTTGTGCAGATTTTAAAAAGAAATGTGATACATTATCAAAGTAAATTAGTTTTATCTACTCATTTTTACTATGACCAGAGTATTCCTGGTGCGAGAAAGTCACCAAAACCCTGGCAGATTTGTCCTCTCCTATGTTTTCAATCAGAAAATGCATCATACTGAAATCTATCCAGTAAGTTAAATTCAAAGGTACTGGGGTAACTAATTTATTTTGTTGTATTCTAATATTTGGAATTCATATACATTTTTTGTCAAGTTAAGACATTTAAAAATCTGACCACTTAATTTTGTAATGTGTTTCCATCGTAGTGAAGTCTTCCTAATAACTGTTAAAGAAATTTATGTCTTCTCCTATAAATAGTTGTCAAGTATCAACCATATCAGATCTATTCTGATTTCATAGCATTTTTCTCTCTTGTTATACTTAATATACCAAATTGTTTTTGTACTTAAAAATTTGGTCTTGTATTAGGTTGTCAAGAAATTAATGTCACATTTGGAACACTTTCATTAACCCCCCCCCCCCAAAAAGACGTACATCACATATAATAGTTAAACGAACTGCCTAAATGTCACATTAGTGTAGCCTATATAATGTGTAAAGGTTAGTATACTCTAATATTTTTTAGTGATGGCACATGTCAAGACACACATTTGGCATGTAATGCTGTTTGAATACAAGATGCGAAACAACACCTCTGTAGCCACAAAGAATATCAAAGAAGTTTATGGAAATGTTTTGAACATTCGTAAGTGTCAACGATGGTTCAGCAAATTTCGTTCAGGTGACTTTAGCCTTAAAAACTGTGATGGCATGGGCTGACATGTTGGAATTTCTATTGATGCTCTGAAGACACTTGTTGAGTCTAACCCAAGGCAACACACTCGGGAAATGGCCCTGAAATTGCATGTCTCTCATGAAACAATCCGTAAACATCTAAGGAATATAGGACAACTCC